AATTTTTTTGAAATATTATTTGGGATTAAAATCAGGCTAGAATGGTTAAATCAAACATTGTAATTCTTGGTATCAGATAGGCTAATTTCTAGTCAAGTTCGATAACATCATCTAGAATTGAGTCAAAATGCACTAGAGGCTTGAATTTAATAATTTGATTCATATAGCTAAAATTGATTTGTGGGCGGTCAGGAATCTTTTTTGAGTACTATTTTTTGCTGTTTCGAATTCTGTCTCAGAAACCCCATTTTTGCCTTACTAGTTTCCTTACTTTCTATTGCAAAGAAAAATGTATTACAAATCTATTTTTAGATGCTAATCATTTAGTGTAACTTTGTATCGACTCCTTACTATTTTTAGATGCTAATTATTTTAGTGTAATATTTGCTTTTATTGATTTTTTTATTATGCAAATCAACTTTCATTTATAATTGAAAAATGTTGTCTATGTCAAAATATATCCAAATTTAGCAAAAACTCATTTTTCATTTTCAGGGGAGTTTTCTTCCTTTCTATTACAAAAGCCTCAAATGATTAAGGGTTTTAGTTCTAATTGCTACTAATGTAAATTTATCAGATAGATCATGTTTTTTATATTTAGTAGCAATAATTCAAGTTTATTTTTTATTTTCATGTTCTTTTTCTTTTATTTTTTTATTAATTCTAATTTTCTAAGTTTATTTAATCTTTGTTCATAAAATTTTTCAGTCATTAGAATTGGATAAATAATTTTTATCACTAAGAATTTTCAATAATTTTACATTTTTTTTACATTTTTTAATTTAAAATTGGTTTATTTTAATTAACTAAATTATCATTTACTGTATATTTTATTAACTTTTTAAATAATATATTAAAAAAAAGTTATTTAAAATTACCTTTTTTTGTAATTTATTATAAAAGGATAATAAATTTCATTAATTTTAAAGTGGATTGGTTGTTAAAAGTTATTTTCATTTAGAAAAAATATGATTTATTATACTAATTTTCTATAATTATTAAATTTTGTGATTATACCAATCATTAATTAATATATAAATGTTTAAATTTATAATAATTCTTTTAACTTTCATGAAATAAAAAAAAGAAGTAAACAAGAGATTATTCACCATTCTAACGAAAAAAAAAATAAAATAAATAAAAAAATAATAATAAATAAATAATAGTGATACAATTTTCACATTCTATATCCGGTGCTTTTCTTTCAAATGTTTCTGTTTTTATGAACACTTCATTAAAAGGATTCTTCGAGAGCAGCGAAGAACCCTTTTTGGTAAATTATTTCTAAATAAATTTTGATTCGTTCATAAGAGGCAAAAGTAACAGCTTGACCAACACCTACACGCATCAAACGAGGGAAAAGACCTTTATACAAGGCCATATAACCTTCGTTTTTTATAAGAGTTAAAGTTACTGATTTGAATCTAGACCAACCTCTTTCAGTGCTACTTGAGCGCTGAATACGAGTCTTAATGGTGTCAATGGGAGCATTTGCAATAGGACCTAAAAAAAAAAAAAAATTTGTTAGAAAATTTAATTTTTATTTTATAAAGAATAAACAAAAAAAAAAAAAAATCAAAATTTACCCATAGCACCACTTAAACCACCCATCAACAAATGTTGATATGTTGGTAATTCTTGACCATCCTTTGTTTCTTGTAATTTTTTCATTTGTTTTTTCATTTCCTGATAAACAGTGAAATTGACAGCTTGGTTTGTGGCTTGTCGAAGCGCAGTCAAAGCGACACCCTTATACATTGCTTGAATACCTTCTTCTTTTATTATAGTATAAGCTGCATGAGCAGCATTTCGATACTTCGGAATATCCAAAGGATCAGTCATTGAATGACGTTGAGCTTGTAGACGAATCTTTATGACATCCATGGGAGTCACAACGAGTACGGCTTCCGTAGTACCTGCGCCAAGACCGGCTTAATGGAGGAGATAAACATCAAAAATTAATGATCGTCGATGATCCTTAATAGATCTCGATTCCTTACGTAGATCAAATCAGATTGGAGGGTTTATGATGATGATGACATACCAAAAAATGTAGCAGCGGTTGAAACTTTGCCAGTATCTTTATTTGCCAAAAATTCTTTATAAGCCTCAAAACTTGAGAAACGAATAGCCATCTTCGGCACAATTCCTGTTACTACAGCGCCTAACCCTTTATACAAGGCGAACCATGATTCTTTTCTTATAATATTAACAGCAACGGTAAAAAAGCCTGGTCTATGACTCTAAGAAATTATCAATTTAGTCAGAGTTTTTGCGGATCACATTATAAAAATCAGGATAATGTAGATAATTACCTTCTTACTCAACTGCATTCTCACTTTTATAGTATCTAAAGGATGGCAGCATAGTGCTTCACATAATCCCGCACCACCACCAGCCAGGAAATGTGTTGAAAGGTTCTTTTTGTCACCGGTTTTCGGCATTATGAATTATGTAAACTAGTGCTATAAATTAAGTGTATAATTAATTTTAACTCTGTGGTGGTCAATTAATTTGTTAGGATAGGTCGGGATTATGTTAGTTAGAGTAAGTTAAGACTATCCTTGGCAAATGATAACTGATGGACTGGGTGATTTTTTTTTTCATCAAAGGAAATGGGGCTTTTTATTTAAAAATCTTGAATAAAAAGTGCCCGAACCAGATTGTCACACAGTAATCTAAGCTAAAATTAGATAGATAATCATAAAAAGAGATTTGAATTTCTAAATTGTATCACCAAATTTCAACTGACATGCATAATAAATTCTACGAATTTGATTTTTCACATGACGATACAACATTTCGTAATTTTTCGGAACCTTTAACTTATATGAAATCAAAATTTATTTTGAAAAATTCACTTTGGTTTCTGTTTCGATTCAGAGGCAAAAAAAAATTCGTTTAAAATAAAAATGGCACTTTATCTATTCTTAAAGAAAATTTACCAATATTTTTCTAATTTAAGAAAAATGTAGCCTTAACTTTTTTTGGTGACAGTGAGATTCGAACTCACGCCCCATTACTGAGACTGCGACCTGAACGCAGCGCCTTAGACCACTCGGCCATGTCACCTTTATAGCAAGTTTTTTGTTTTCGAATCAATTTAAATTTTTTAATTTTAGAAAATTTGGCAATTGTAAAGAATTTTAAAGAATGGTATGATTACTTAATTTATAAAAAGTCAAGTGAATTTTTAATTTCGTAAATAAAATAGAATCTTCCTTTGTTGGCGGCGCAGTAAAATTTTACTTTGAGAACATCACGTACAATTTTTTTTTTTTGCTTTCAAGATTTGGCTTTTGATGATTTTTAACAATTGGTAAAGCATTATTCTTCTTGGACAAAATAGGAAGAACTTTAGTTTCTTTAATTAATTTTCTACAATTGTAATATAATTTCTTTACCAAATGAAAAATTAAGAACGATCTGCTATCAAAATATGAAATCTCAAAAGAAGGGGCTGAATCATTGAATGAATATCTTTTATTATAATTTCCTTACAGGATTTGTCGTATCACATAGATTTATGCTTATTTGGAATTGATAAAGTAATTCAACCAATTTCAATATTTATTAAAAATAACAAATAAAGAAATTTTTGGCGGGACGATTCAAATTCAGCCATAACCCGAATTTTACATGGAAAAGATAAATTCGTTTTTTTTTTTTTTTGCTCTTGATATTTTCTTTTTTTAATAAAAAAGTTAAAAATGAGTAGTGGAAAACTTGAAGTTCATATTGGTATGTATAATTCTTTATGACCTATATTTTATGAATTTATTTTATTGTGCACCTTCGAATTCAACTTTTTATCTATAATTATTGTAGTTCAAGGTAGAGGCATAAAAGATATGGACACCGTTGGTATGTTGTGGTGTTTTCTTTTATGGAATCACATTTGCAATTTTTGCACTATATTAGCACATTTTAACTCAAATTTTAATTTATTTATATGTTGGAAATTGCAGGTCAAGGTATTTATCATATATTTATTTCTAAAAAAAAAAAAAAATTGAAAATAAAAAATAATAGTATATTAACCTTTTTTTTATGTAAGGTGACCCATATGTTGAACTTTGGTTGGATGAAGATTCTTCTACCAAACATAAGACTGATTCTAGGAGTGGAACTAATACGCCTGTATGGGATAAATATTTTCATTAGTAAGTGTTTTTTCTTTCTCAATGTTTGACTAATTTATTTGGTCACGATTTATTTAAATCATGTGGTTGCCTTTTGATTAGTTTTGTTAAAAATCACAAAGAACTTCATCTCAGACTTCTCGATGAAGATGTTGGTGCATCTGAATTGGTAAGTTTATATACTTTGAAATTGAATTTCTTTCTTGTTTTTAATCTTTATTTGAAATAAAAAATGTATTTTACTTTTAGATTGGTGTATGTTCAATTCCCCTTGCCGATGTGTATGAAAAAAGATATGTTGATCAGTGGGTTCATTTGCCAGACAAGAAATCTCAAGAAAGCAATGGAGAAGTTCGTGTAATTTTGGAATATTGGCCAACTAATATTTAACTTGAGGGAAAAAAATTTTTTTTTTATTTATTATTATAATTTATTATTGTTTTTGTTCATATATTTACACAAATTGTATTTAAATAAATGAAGATTGTGATTCTCGGATTTTACATAATTTTCATATATAAATAAATTCACATTGCAATGAGATAACTTCAGACTTGAAATGGTGTTTCTATACTATCTATATACTAACACAATATCCTAACATAATCTGGTTTCATTCGATGTCCTAGATAGAATAAATATAGTCGTCAGTTATAACATGCAATATCAAGAAATAAATGAACATTACCTTGTAAATTATCTCACAAAATCTTAGCGAAAGTTGTCACCACGTGCCCGTTCATTGTGATTTAAGAATAGATATCGCGTGTCAGTGGGGTGCGCGGTCAACTAATTAAATCAAAACTATGTATAATCCTATAATAAAATTTACTATAGAAGATTTTCCATTTCGAATTAATTGCCTGCATGAGTTTTATGGTACGATTTCTAATGTACAGCATTTATATATAAGCGGAAATCATTTTCCTTGCTTTAAACATTCTTTCGTTCTTTTTTTAGCAATACATTTTAACATAGCTTTACTTAAATAATTATATACAATAATTACAATATTGATTGTTTGCTATTAATTAAAATAACTAATTAATAGCTTTTAAGTGCCTAATAATTTATTAAAAATATCTGATGCGACTTCAAAACCAAATGGTTGTGGCTGAATATTTTGAAGTGATGATTCTTTAAGTTCAGTTCTTTGCAATCGTACATTTTTTAGTCCCTCTATCAAATTTACTTCGACAATCTTATCAGAAGCTAATCAAAGCTTTGATTGCTTAAGAGATTGTGACATGTGTGGGTGTGTCTTTAAATCCAATTTGTTAAAAAGCCTCTCTACTTGTTGTTGATGTATGACAATATAATAGACGTGAGTTTTAACAAATTCATAAATATTTGTATAATTTGTATAATATTGGATAATTTGTTATACAAAATTCTTCAAATTCTTGGAATTTTTTTGGATCATTTATTAATAAATCATGCAATCCAAGATCATTTGCATTCCCACTATCCAGATCGTTTTTCAGAATAGATGCAAATTAGTAGGCTCTTTATTCCAAGATTTTTAAGAATCACATAGCGATAACTATTAGCAAAAGCTTGTGCACTATTTCCATCTAAAGAGCAAACAATCAATGATAAATGAAGCCATGGAGTCATCTATTTAATAAAATATTCAAAAGCTCCAATTATTCCTTTTTCCAAATTTGTAAAGAGCTTTGCAAATTCATCATTTGATAGTAAATCTGCAGCATTTGATAATCATCAGAAAAAAACATTTCAAAGTTTTCTTTAATATTTCTAAGATATTCTATCAATTCCTGAACTTTATCTAGCATCTCATGAGTTCTGTGACCTGGTGACAATAAAACTAACCGATTATCTTAGATAACTCGTAAATTGCATCAGGGGTTCATAAAAATGTTCTGCAAAATTTATTAAACATTTAATTTCAATGTTTAATTTAGTATCATTAATCCAATATTCAAAAAGATTCCAATCATTTAAGTATGACTTTGAAGCTTTGTGATTTTCCATTTTACCAATAAACCAATGAGCAAACTGAATGTGACTTTCACGTTTGCAGTTCGTAATTTATAACGTGATCTAAGTGGCAATTGGTATTGATTATAATGAAAACCAAATAAACCATCAAATAATGTTAGAATTAACATTTAATGGTTTATCTTTATCACTAGAGTTATAACCATTATACAATTTTCATGCTAAATAAAGATGATTATAGAGATGTGGTATTCTGAAATCCTGTAATATTTGAAAGTTTGCTAAAAGCCTCTTGTTTAAAATGATTTAATACAATTTGTATAATATGTAAAGTATAACTAACTCAAAATATATTTAATCCAATTTTTTTATTGAAAAGAATTATTGCATCTTTTTTATAATCTAAAAAATATGCAGTATTATCTGTAATCCATAAAGAACACTTTTTAATATCTAAACCATCTTCATAAATAATGTTAATTATTGTAATTGAACTGTATCTGCATTGCACTTTGGAATATTTATTAATCAAGATATAGTTACCACTGTCGCATTATTTTTTTGACTTCAGAATTGATAATAAAGAACAAAATTTTTTATTTCTTCGCAAGTTGATTTATCAATCATAATAGAAAATGGTAGTGCCATTGCTATTTGAAATATTTGAGAACTGATATGAATATGGATACTATATATGTAATATGAAAGTAGATAGCTAATTGCAAGGTTCCTCTCTAATCAAATATATTTTATACATCCAACTGTAAAACATATTGATAATTGTCCTATCTGAGAAATACTAATAACAAGCCAAATTATATTTGAAGTATATTCTCATTCATTTGTTTTAAAAATAGATTTGATTTTCTTTTTAAAAACAGTATCAGTTATTGTCTAATTAAAAACCAAAGGAGCTAATTATTTATTATAAACATTTGAAAAAATTAAACAGGATTATTCTTAAATTCTATGTTTTAAGAATCAAATCTAACATATGATTAATTAGTTCTGAATGAATTTAAGACTGTTCTACTTAGTAATACCTGACGAAATTACCTTTCTTAATATGAAGAAATTGACGAAACTGAAATGATAAAACTAGTTTTTATTAATGACGAAATTATTTTATTTACTTGCCAAAATTATATTTAACTTGATCTAAATTTCTTGAATTAAAATACATTAAAAAATATAATAATTTTATATTTATTCATATAAAAATATTAAAGAGATGAAACTTTTGACGAAATTACAATTTTTCAAAAAAGAATTTAGTCAAGTATCACTAGTTCTACTATTAGCTATATAATAATAGAAGCAAAGCTTCCTACTATTGAATTTTCCAGCATCTTGAATTCAAATAATATTATTTACACTAAATATCTCATTCTTCAACTATATCACAATCTTAAAATTCTAGCTAAAATTGAAGAAGAATTTATAATGCAGCAGAAAATTAAATACTATATAAATTAAAAATGTTTATAATATGAAACTGCTTCAGGAAAAATAATCAAATCAGCTTTTGAATGCTCAAATAAGACTGTTATTCTTGACTATTTCTTAATTAACATTGATGATACTTATCAATTTCTTATTAATGATCGAACTCTAATAAAATAACATATCAATAACTATTTTCAAAATTTTGCAGTTCCTTCTTTATCTGCTACATTTATATTTAGTAAATAGATTAATCAATTTCATCCTAAAAATGATATTGATGAAAATTAGTATAGTAACATTATGCAATCTCCTACTTTTGAAAAATAAATAGCAGTGGTCTTATATCTTCTAAATGATAAAGCAGCTAGATCTTTAAAAATTCATAATGAGATGGTTAAACATTTAGGTTCACTCTTACAATCTCTATTATGGAAATTAATTAAAATATGCTTCTCTTGAATAAACCCTTTCTAAGTGGCAAATTACTCATATTTATTCAATTTTAAAGCCAATGAATTAGAATTATGATATTATCAAAATAAGACCTATTACTTTATTAAAAACTTCTTGAAAAGCTATAGTTAAAATTATTACCAATTAACTCTCTCATATAATGACTAAATATAATATTCTAAAAGAAAACAACTTTAAAGGCCTACTAGAAAGCTCTACTGAAGATCCAATTAAAATCATAAATAATATTATTAAGGACTCTATTGAATATAAAAAAGAAATTTAGATCTTCCTTTAAGATTTATCTAAGGCTTATAATAGAGTTGATCTTAATATTTAAACTTGTTTTTAGATATCTTAAAATTCCTAAAAATTATATTACATGTCTTCTCAATCTATTTATTAATAGAAAAAATGCTGTTTTCATTAAAGACAGATTTTTTGACTATTATGACATCAGAATAGAAATTAACCAAGGTAAGGTTATTTTATCTCTTCTATGATGCATATATTTTGATTCTCTGCTTGTGAAATTGACTAATTTAAAAAAGACTATAATTTAAATCATATTTGGATCTTTGATTTGACCAACATAATCTCATCTTTTCTTTTTATCAGGATTTCATCTCTTAGATATATTGATGATGCAAATTGGATTAATAGTTCTAAAAAAAACTTAGAATGCATTTTAGATATAGCTGACAAATATTATTCTATCATATATACAGTGAACTCTTAATATAACGAATTCTAGAATCTGGATATCAACTTCGTTATAAGCTTATAATGAATTTTTTAAAGAATTTAATTGGCTAGTTCACTATAGTAAGGTAATTTTAATATATTTGATTTAAAAATTCGCTATATCAAGGGTTCACTATATTAAAGTTTGACTGTATTGCAATTAATAAAAACAAATCACAGTTATTAACCAATACTCTTTCTTACTTCAACCCCATTTTTTTAAAATTTAATTTATCTTTTATTTTCATTAAATTAGAATTGGATTCTATTTGTTACTTAGACTTATAAATTAATATTTTAATTCATACTCTTTTGTTAAGAATCAAACCAAAAATACTATTATCTCCTTTATTATAATCCTCAAATTCAAACCCCGTATTGATAAACAACTGATTTATATATTCAACATAGTTTCTCATACTTCTTTTAGAATACTATATACAAACAATATTATTATTATTTACAAAATGCAATCATTTTTCTGCATTTATACGAAGATTGTTAAAATACAGCTCAAATTTTGCTTTTTTAACATTAGATTGTCTTTTTAAAGGAAACAACTTTTATAACTTACATGATCTTTTAAATTAGTAATTGAAATTTCTCTTTATAGCACTTTTTTACTAGTTAATTTCAAGTCTCTCTATAAATTCATTTAAATTAAACTATTCAAACTACAAACAAATTATGGACTGCATGTTTCACTTTTAGTTAAGTGAAATTTACTCTTCAATAACAAATCTTTTTAAATTTAATCAATACTATTTTCAGCCATCTTAAACAAA